CGTCGCGTCTCGGATTCCACACCATGGTTCAGCCGGTTTGGGCGCCTAGTAGCAATGGTAGCGAAAGTGGCTCGTTTATTATACACTAACCTTAAATCTTAAGGTCCCCGTCGGCGGCAACGCGTAGGGGATCCCTTGAAAACTGTAAAACGGTCTGCCATCATAATCCTTGCATACTTTTCCCTTTAGCTTTCCTTGTTTTACGGTCACAATCGGTTCGTTAGACATTTCCACTTGAACTGAACGGACACGGCTGTTATGCTATGTCTACAGATAAGATATCAAGGTACTGTGTGGAAACTTGCCAGGACAAATGCTAAAAATAAATTTATTTATTAATTCCACCAGAACGTTAATTTGTAAAATAGGCAACACGACTCGCTGGATGTACATATAAATTACGTATACATTTAGTTCGCCATTGCCTTAGTTAATTTAAATTAATGATAAGAAAACTACCCAATATTCTCATTAGCATTAGATTTTGATTGATTTTATAGCCTAAGGGCGTTGACCTGAAAAAAGAATAGCAAATTACCTCATTTCATCAAAAAGTAGTGAAGAATTTGGTTTTTTTTCCATTTTTTTCCCGTGGGGTTTGCGTTGCCAGTTTTTGCAAGCGAAGTCCACAAGTAACAAATATTTTCATTACGTTTTCTTCGATGCTGTCGGGAGAATTTCGGGGTACCCACATTCTTAAAAAGGTAACCCAATTCAAATTGAAAAATAACGACTGGCCCCTAGGTAGAAATGGGCAAAAATGAGGAACCAAGCTAATATCTCTGGACTCTTAAGAGATATTGTGAATTTTCAGTAATAATAGCTTTTAACAAATTTGAGTTTCAGATCTCGTAACAAATCTCTTAAAACACTAGAGATATTTACTTGATTCCACACTTTTGCTCATCTCTGCATACAAATTACATAAAGCTACAGAAAACCTTCCAGGATATGTGCTCATATACTTTCTTGCTTCTTTTCCAATTTGCATTTTACAATTACAATAGTTTTCCACCTGTACGACAAACTTCGGGGAAAATTATTTCTCCTATAATCATGCTTAAACATTTACAATATCATCTGCCACCACCTTTCACGAAATGTATTTAAGGCTAAAAAGTACTTACTGTATTGAGTCGCATTTTTAATTACGAATACAAAGATGCACGGCACACAACCAAAAACACCAGTTGGAAACTGTCAGTTTCAACAGGATGGTGCACCCGCGCACAACGCCAGAAAATGATTCCTATTGCATAAGTTGTTAGTTTAATGGATCGTCATTGAATTACTACAATACACCCACTCATTTATAAAAAATATCACGTTCCCATCTACCTCTACTATGCAAGAAATCTCTTCATCTCTGATATTCGATTTTTCTTTCATATCCTTGTAATTTATTTTTGTATATAAAGAGTGAAATCTACGTTACTGTTTTGATCTTCACCGTTTTTAATTTCTAAAAATTTAGAAGCGAATAATTTCTTTATGCATGTTTTTATAGTAGGAGAAACTATTTTTCCTATAATTTATTGATACAGCAGATTTTTTAAAATTCTTCAAAATAATTTAATAGATTTTGGTGATTTTTAATTAATACAACGATCGCTGTTCCTATTGCTTGATCATTTTTTCCCATTACTTTTGATTTTTTTATGTTCATTTAGAATTTTTTTTGAAATTTGTTTCTCGGATATAAAATACTGTTTTTTAATCAATTTATTACTTTTAATTTAATTTCTAAAATATATTTTTTTAATTTTTAGACCTTACATGGAAATTAAAAATTCCACTTAAATTACACTTAAGTTGGCTCCTCAGTAGATATTTCTATTATTAATCTGTGGACATTCAGGATGTGATCGTTCTACTGTAAGCAATTGTATATTTTTTATTAGACAAAAAAAACACTGAATCCGAAATTAAAAAAACCATGGTTTATCGCACTGAACACATTCGATCAATTCCGTCCCAAAACGCCATACGAATTTTTTCGGGGTTCACGCCGACTGTCAGGTTTTCACCGATATCGAGGAAGTCAATCGGCCCCTCCTTTACCGGTTTCCAGAGCACGTCGATCAGAGGATGTTTTTCCGTGGGGTTTGGGTTGTCGGTTTTTGCAAATGAAGTCCACAGAGTAGTAAATACTTTGATTCCGTTGTCTTCAATACTGCCGGGAGCAATCTTCGCGGTACTCTCGCTCATAAACAGGTAACCCAGTTCGTCTGCATGACACACGCCTGAAATCAGACACCGTTCGTAGATCTTTTTGAAATAACAGCCACATAAAGTCTGCGATTAATCGGATCGCAAATTCGTACCAAATCTACTATGTCCTATAGACAGGAATGGGCAAAATCAAGAAAATATTTCCAGAGTTTCATAGCAAGGTGCTAATCAATAAGAAATTCAAATATGAGTCCATTTTGTATAGTTACACAGAAATCTATAAACATACTTTCTAGATAAATAAGGGGTTACCAATTATGCAGCTTGAATATTCAGATTCCCGCCAAACAGAATATCCATTGGCGTAACACTTGCGCTTTTCACCTTTTATGAAGTGCACAAAATTTACAGCGAGAACTGTTCAATTCAAAACTGCCAGGCATGTAACATTACTTGTGGGTGGTATCTGTGCTAGCCACAGCAAATTTTTTAATTATATCCTACGCCTTTATTTAAAAAACACACCACTGTCCTATTTTCTATTTAATTGTTTGTTTCTGCTTATCTTGAATCAGCATTTAGTAATCTGCTTACTCTGATTTTTAAGTTTATTGGAGACTAATTATTTCCGCCATGTTATGTAAGAAAGTCATTCATTTCTTAAAATTGCTAATTGATGAAGTGTAAAAATCAGACACCTCTTACTCGAACTGTTAGAATAACAAAATCAGGTAAAACAGCAAGCTTATGGCAATTTAAAACCTTTTTTCCATCAACACGAGCATTTTGTCGACTTTCAGCACTTGAACCTTTTTCTCAAAATTTTAGAGTAGTTACAACGTATCCGGATTTGCTGATTTTTTCCAATACTTCGTTTTGTCTTTTTATTGTAAAAATCGCAACAAAACCAACAAAATCTATTCAAATCAAAACCTCCTATCTAAACTTGTTCTGAAGAAGTACAGAAAATGTGCAATTTTCGTCGGAAAACACTTCAGATTTTGTAAATAAAAAAGTTTGAAGAAAAATTCAGAAAATGATTCGTATGTTAACCTGGTGGAAACATTGGGGGCATTGGCATTCGCTCTTATAGCACAAGTCATCTAATTACTCCAATACACCCACTCATATAAGTTGGTTCCTAATTGGCTGTTTCTGGTATTAACCTGTGGACATTCGGGCTGTGGTAAAACAATCGCCAAATGTAATTTTTAATTTGTAATACTTTTGGTTCTTTATGTTTTTATAGTAGAGGTGTGTGTAAAAGAAGCAAACATTCAAAATAGACACATTTACAGCATGCTTTTAATGATGATTGAAACATTTTCTCAGAGTTGATGAAGGATTACATATAGAACCAACTAATTTGGTCGATAAAAATTATGTTTAGTGGATTTTGAGGTGCGTAACATGCCGTCATTTTGAATTTTAGGTCATTTCGAAAATTACCTACTTTTTCATAACCACTTACATTTACAAAATGAAAACTCATTAAAATTCTTATAAAAAACGTGTTCGGTTTTTCGAAACATACACAAGTTTCATGTTAGCTAAGGTAATAAAGGTATCCATCGTAGTGTGCCGATGATAGCAAATTTGCTGCCGAAACGTGTCCGATTAATTATTACGTACTCGACTAAGGAAATACCCTACCTGGTTTAGTAATCCCCATAAACCGTTTCTCGGCATTCAGTTGTGAGTCAATCGACACTCGATAGAAATAAATCGGACACCTTGCGGTATCGCGATGGTATCGAACGGTGTTGTATACGGGCCTCAAGAACATGTTGTCCGTTTGTAACTAAAACAAAAATCTACAGATAGTATAAAACAATCTGACCCAAGGATTACAAGGTGGAAGGCATCTGTGTTTAACATAGATGGCATTTCGTTATTGTAGAAGAACTTCTTGATTTTGTTCGCGATCTGTTTGGACAGTTCCGTTCCTTTGGCAACCTGCAAGCTGCATGCGATTTCATCTTCAAAGTCTCCGACCATTTGCACATTGTTGTATCTGACCGTAGCGTAGAATCCCTCTCTGGATGTAAATCCTATCATTAAAGGAACGTCGTGGTATCTACCTGATTTGATTATATCTATAGGTTCCTCAGCTAAGAAAGTTCCTTCGGTCAGGTATGGCTCTACAACAAAACCAAAGGGTCGGTGGACGCTCACGAGGTACGGCTACAAGTTTATTCATCACTTCAGTTTTTGAAAAGCCCAAACTTACTTCAGGAATTTTTTCTTGCAATTCAAAGAGTTCTTCTACAGCCAGTTCTTTGAGCACGTGGAGTAGTTCTACATCTGTCATGGAATTGAGCTTCAACGCTTTGGATATTAACGGAGTCGAATACTGGCCACGGCCTCTGTTGCTCAGCGCACTTCCACTCTGAATTATGGCCTTGTGGAATATCCCTACAGCCTTTTTGTACTATTGTATATGCACACCGTAAGCGCATACCTTTACTCAACGGTGACAACATTAGATAGTGCACGGACCCACCGCCTACACTTTGTCCAAAAATCGTTATATTATTAGGATCACCTCCGAATTGCTCAATGTTGCTCTTCACCCATTTTAAAGCCAAGACTTGATCCTTTAACCCCGCATTTCCTGGTATACCTAAGCTGGGATCTTTCAGACTTAGAAAACCTGCAGTTAGTGTTCGTTTTATAGCTCGCTATGCAAGTTATCGTACCCAGCATTCCTAATCTATAGTTAATGGTGACAAGCACGACGTCTTCGGGTACCAAAAAATCGGGCGCGTACAGCTCCGAGCTCCCGGAATCGGAAACGTACCCACCGCCGTGTATCCAGAACATTACGGGCAATAAAGGGGAATGTAACTGGAAAAAAAACATTTACATAATGGATTATGTGCTTGTAATCAACTGGACACACGCAACGAGCACATCTATTAGCTATTTATAAGGTAGCTAGAATGATTTATTTTATTCGCCTTATGCGTGGATTGTAATGTGATATCAAACAATGTTATTAATGGGGGGCGATCTTTTATAAAAGCAAAAAGCGGAGAGGTATTTTTCCTCTGCGATTCGAGTGGAATTAGCAAGTCGACTGAGAAAAAATGCCAAAAAATAAATTCAGAGTTTTCAACTTGATCTCTAATTTCCTCTTCCATATCTAGATCTCGAACTTTCACAACCGGATTACATACTTAAAATTTACAACTTTCTTTTTTGTCATTGAGCAATTTTCCTGGTTTGTCATTCAGTTGTGATTTTGACTTCATTAAAAAAGGCAAAAGGAACTTATGCTTTGATTTCCGATAAACATATTCGGAAATTAAGAATAAGAGTCAAATTGTACTGTAAAAAGAACAATTATTTAGTTTCAAATGAAGAATGTTGTGTATAGTGTATAAGTTTGTACGATATTTCAAGGAAGCGAAAACTACCCCTTTTGTAAAAAAATCAGTAGAATTGTCGGTGCTTTTTTGACTGTATCCGATACTAGATCCGATAAATTTTGCACCCGTAACAAGCGACTAATATCCATGGCAGCAATTAACAAGCAATTATATTACTATTACTATTACTATTACTATAACACTAAAGAAAACCCCAACGGTTCGTTATCCTCAAAATTTTTCTCGGAGTTTCCAATTTTCCATTGTACAGAAAAACAGAGTTCAAAAGCGTCCATCTGAAAGGGTCTGTTGTGATTTATGTTAGATAGGTATTTTTAATAGTGAAAAAATTAAGGGTCACCGGAATATTTATTTGATTGCTAGAAAGAAAAAGGAAATAGTAATCGGTAGGGGTAGTAAATGTGGACACGGATTTTAAAATGGATAAAAAGGGCAAAGTTTGTTAATCGAGCTAATGTTAAAGGGAGAAGGAATTTTAAAAATAACTCTCGTTTGTCGCGGATAATGTTGGTTGCCTATAGACATTGACATGGTTTTCTTAAAAATATACATGGCCCATATGTACACATGTAAGAAAAATTCCCTACGGTAGTAGGAAAAATGAATAAGTATACGCACAGAGGGAGTATATATGTTTAGGAAGAGACAATCCTCTGATCCCATGAGTTTTTGAAAAAAATTATGCCTAGCATAGCATCTGTTGCCTTCCTTAGTTGCGTCTAAGACACCTTCCCATTTATCAAGCGGGAGAGGAGCCTGAAATTATAATTAAATTAAGTTACTAAGAAAATCATAAGTTTTCAAGAACTTGCCTTAAATCTCAATTCGTTAACAGGTGGCCTGGCATACGGAATACCTTGAAAACTGTAGTATTTCCTTCCGTAGTAGTCTTTGCATTCCTTTCCTCTCAAATGTCCTTGTTTGACACTGACTAGAATTTGATCCATGGTTTCAGCGTATACGATTAACACAAAAAATACACGAATTTAAATTCACTCACTACTACGTCCATCAAAAGCATACGGTTAAGTGTAATCGAACTGATGTCTTATTCTTATCGCTCGTACGCTATCACTGTAAAATGGGTCACAAATAATTGCATAACTCTAAAATGACAGTCAAATTCAACTAAAACTAGGCGAATGAAAAGTTTTGGTCTTTTCCTTGTTAAATTTGATAGAGTAATTGGGACATTCTCCTGAAAACTGAAGTTATCCGCACTCGAAATGTTGTTGGAAACCTTTCAACTGCACCACCCTGTATGTAAAACATAGTTCCTCTCAAAGTATCACTGCACTCTCCTCGCACTGTCGGTTTTACCACCCCCAAATAAAGGAAAATCGAAAGTTGGATAATCTTAGGGAGAGGTTCAACTAGTTCTTGTGAGGATGCTGCCTATTTTCCCACTAAAAATAAGCCCAACAAACTCAATCAGTGGAATTGTTACGGTAAGGGCGGTAGAAGTGGTGACAAAATGCTACAAATGTGGCGAGTTAGGCCACTATAAGCGGAACTGCAAGAATTGCAAGGAGACCAAGTCTGCGAAGTGTCAGAAAGGGTCTGCGTTTGTTAGTCAAGAGGACATCGTCAAATCTGTGGATTGCCCCAATGTTTGGATTACAGATTTCGGTGCAACGCAGCACCTGCCCATGAACAGTAATTGGTTTTCTACTTTTGAGGTGTTTTTCCCAGAAAAGGACGTTCTAGTCGGAAATTGCCTATCAGTGAAGGCGCTTCGCAAGCGCATATTGAAATAATATTGAAATGATTGTGAGTGGTAAGGCTAAACAGGGCTATCTTGAGGATGTGTGGTTGGTTCCGGAAGTGGGCAAAAAAATAGGCGATGGAGTGGGATGTGGAAATTCAGTCCTCTAGATGCATATTTACGCCTTTTGACTTATTTAATAAATTACGAGTACTTTTTTGTTCCAAAATATATATTAATAATTCAAATATGTATACCTCATGTACAAGAAAAAAATTTCCTCTTATGTGATGGTTTCCTCCGTCTCTCCGTCTGTCCGTCTGTTCCTCGTCTTAACTCGAGAACGGAAAGAGGCCGCGATGTCAAATTTTCGCCAATCGATTTCTACGAGTTCAAGGATTAAAAGTCTGAAAAAGTACTGAAAATCGTATTTTAGTTAAAAATTGTTTAAATAGTGTACAAATTGTTTAAACAATTAAAATCTAATTTGGGTACAAGTTAGTCAAATTCAGAGTTTTTGATGCAACTAAGAAAATTTCAATCGGGCCAAGTGGGAGTGCTAACGCGATTTGAAGTTAGCACCTCCACTTTAATTGGTTTTCCGGCAGAAGTAAGCGAGTACAAATTAGTCTTTCATTAGTCCTAAATTATAGGCATATTTTTACTTGATTTGGGCAAAAGTGGGAGTGCCCATCTTTCTGTAGGTACATGTACAGATCTCATTACAAGTTCTTTCAAGAGAATTTGACAGCTTTCAGAAGCTCTGAGGAGACCTCAAAGGTTCCTTCGTTTTCTAAACCTTTACAGCAACCGAGACCCATCCCTCCCCCACAAAAATAAACACAACTATAAAAATAAATAAAGATTATTACAACAATAAATGAGTTTCACCTACAAACAGTTTAATTCAAATAGCAAAGAACATAAAACCGAGTACTTCAACCGTAATGAATTTTATGTAATGACCGAACAAGCGAAGTAAATGTATAAAAAGGAATAAAAAATGTTTTACAAGGCAATCTACTCAAATCGTGATTCCTAAAGTTAACTTTGATTGCCTTCCTTTAAGTTTCCAATTTCCTTTGCTTTGATAATTCTCATGTTTTTCAGTTTCACTCGTGCGGATTCTAAAATGGCAATTTCTTAACAATTATAATTAAAAGAAAGTGGGCGGAATTCGGGCTGCTAATAACTTGTGATCTAAAGATTGTAGCGAATCGATAAATTTTTTTTAAGTTTAAGTAGCTCACTAATGAGCAAAAGACTTCAGTAGTAAACGCTCTGTAAAATTTCTAATCCGGCGCCTTTTGATAAAGATTTTATTTTACTAAATTATAAGTATTTCCTTTTTAGGTTTGGAAACCATTAGGATATTTTGAAGGGCACCTTCTTGATTTGGAGTATCTTTCCTGCATACAAACTTCTTTCGCATTTTCTTTCCCTACTTTCTTCATGTCAATTGACATTGGCTGCTTCCGTTCCAAACTTTCGTCTGTACTGTAGGTAGTATACCTTATCATAAGCGCTTTCTGATGATAATTACCGAGAAAAGTTGGTAGAGATAAGACGAGCTGCTAGAATTTTCATCTGCGATTCTTTGATCCAGATGTGTAACTTCCTCAAAGCTGCCGGGAAGTTTACAACTTTGTTGCTTTGAAATATACTACACGATCTAGTTTTTGCCGTTTGAGCCCTTAAGGCATTTAACAAACATCGTTCAGCTCCAACTTTTCATTATAAATTTCAAAAGCAAAAGATAATACACTATTTATGCGAAATAATTGCATTATTAACTTTTGCAAGTCAGAACTGGCGAAAAATAGAAATACCTTTGCCTTCAAGCTTTACATAAACATTTCGTTTTTTAAGCCCTCATAGCAATAATCAAGCTTGAAATGATTATGTTTAATTATTCTTTCAATGAAACATGTAAACCTATAAAATAGGCAAGGTTTAATTGTATACAGATTTATATAAAGGTGCACTACCTCTGTTTCTTAAATCAATTCTGAGGTTTGAAGTTTAGGAAGATATTTTAAATACGTTTCAAAACTGGGAAAAATGTTTGAGGTTTCTATGAATTTTCTAATTGTCTCGCTTTAGTTCAGTCTTGATTTAAATATTGACAGGATACGTCGTTTGATCATATTTTGCTCGAAGCGTTATCCTAATTGTAAAACGAGACGATCAGCCAATTCAAGTAAACTCGAAAAGTACAGTATTATTGCCTGAGCACCAAGATTACATCTCGAGGCGCTTGCGCCGAGGGGTGTAAGGTGCGAAGGCAATAATAGACTTCTCTACCGTGGTATATATACTATTTTTTCACTACTAGCACTTGAAGTCCTCTAAATTAACATATTATATTGATAAGAAAGTGAACGGTTGGACAGAATTTTTTGTTTATTAATTTAACATGTCAATTAAGTAAGTAGTCAAACAGGCCGTATTTTGTTCTGTCATTGAGATATTTTCAAAGAGTAATTTCGTTCGAATTTTTTCAAAATGTGATAATTTTAGGGTATGTAATTTCTCTGGAAATGGCGGATGGTGGCAATTATTCATTTTAGAGAACTTGTCTAAACGTTTATTGAGCGAAATTTCGGGTTGTGTTTTCTAAAAGTGACAGCGTGACTGTTCTCATTATTGACTACTAGTTAATAATGTCCACATTATTAACCACTTTGAACAAATGCCGAGAAAGCCTACTTTATAAGTGGAAAAAAGGTTAATAATCATGTCATCAGACGCTAGTAGTGAAAAAAATATCTTCTTAAACCAAAATTTTATTTAAGAGACAGACGACCGATTGCAGGAAAGTGATTTATAATCAAAATCCTGGATTATTTGCCAAATCTGAGTTTAAACAAGAATTTTGATATTTGATTGGCTGCCTACTGCAATATAAAGTCAATCAAATGTCTTAATACCGGATTAAACAATAATCCTGGATTATTTTTTTTGTGCAACTGGCCGAGAAAGATTTTAATAATCTTTTTTATCGACCTTAAAATAAATCAATCGCCCATAGAAACTATTCATAATAAAAAATCCTAGTTTGTCTTTTAATTAATTAATCAAGTCAGTAGAGAAAAAAAATTGCATTGATCTGCATTACTTCTTCTAGCAATAACATTATTACCTTCGCCAACTAGTCCACGTTTCTAAATGCAACCCGAATTATTTGCGATTTGCCTAACTAATTTGGTTTTCTTAGAGCAATTACGACACTGCTTATTTAAATAGAATACAAATAAAAGGCTTTTACAACGTTACAGTTTTTGAAAACTATCCGTATATTAATTTCAAAGAAGTAATTTTCATTAGAAACACATAAATTATTTGTAGCTATTAAAAGCAAGAACATAAACAAAACGCGAATCAAATTACAAACCGGGGATTAAATAGCGAAATAAATTAGTCGATCGAATCAAAAGTGCAAATTTCACTAAATTATTCTAAACTCTCAGAGGTAATCAAAATAAGTTTCCGAAAAAATCATCGACCACGTGACCGAAACTCGTCAGCTTCTGATAGGTCATTAGATTTTGCAAGGTGACTGGTTTTGCGAATGCGCTTGGAAAATCATTGCACTCTAAAAGAGTTACTTTTTATTTCTTGTTAGCATTCGGTTGTCTAAAGGCGCGTAAACATTAAGAAATTATCCTAGAGTTTAACTAACGCTAAACTTAACGTGCAGGTTATCAGTTATTTTGCCCACATAACACAAAATAACGTTTTTCGCAGATAACCTGGACGTTAAGTTTGACGTTACTTGTAAACTTAAAAATAAGGATTTTTAAACAACAGCAACTAGAAAAGCGATATATGTAAGTTTTGTTTTTCTTTGTTTAGGTAAATGAAATACAACGTTTAAGTTATCTTTTGCTTTGTTTCACAAACTGTTATTGATAGGGAGATATCTTATACTTCATATAAATACTATAAGTATCGCAAGGATAATACACCTTCGGCATGTAGGTTACACCTTTTTCAGTTACCTGCGTGTCAATTACTATTTGATATTTGAATGTTCCTATAAAAGAATGAGAAAATGTTTAGCCTTCTGTAAGGAAAGCCCTAATATTGCGAATTTGATTTGAAAAGTTTTCTTGTAACATGCAAAAGAAATTCAAAGGCATTTTTCAGTTTCTATTTTGTGTATAGAAATGTTTATAAACGAGCAAACTGACGTGTGAAATCAATAAACAAAATTAAAATAAATCGTTTGAAGGCATGCCCGACGCACCATTTCTACCTGTTGCCTCCGGTTTTTTTCCTGCCGATTTGCTAAAATTCAATCAACGTAAACCGTATCAACACGGGCTCACTTAATATCCTCCTCAATCCCGACTTTTTTTTTGAAAAGCGTGCGATAATCAAGCATCGTGTGGCAGGTAAATACGCATGCCAATGGACCTCGAAATACGAAACGCAGTTCGGCGGCGTCCAGATCAGAGTTGTTAGCGTCGCTGTTGCAGCCTGACGGGATTATTTTCACCCTAGCGACGACGCCGACGCCGCGATGTTATTAATTTCGACGTCAGTTAATATCGCATCATCTAATGAAATTTACAACCCCCCGTTAAATTAGTGCGCGCTGAACTTTTAGCACTAACTCATAATTAAACGGCATACGTTATTATTTTAATTAACTCGAAGTGGATTAAGTAATTTTTTTTGTATTCATACGAAACTTTCGCAGAACAGAATGTGAAAAGAGCGCATTGTCGCAAAATGTGTTAGTTCCAAATTTTTATTACGAAACTTACGAAGTAGGTACTATTTAGGGTTGAATGGAACATAAAAACTTTGAAAATTTACAAGGTACGTGTTTTATTGGCCATGCTGTTTTGAAGATTAAATTGTGCGCTTCTGATTAAGATTGATGTCCACGCCAGAGTTAACTTAATTTTCCTTTCTGTATAATTTCTCTAACCTGTTGATCGAGGCGCCTTTATCTGTTATTAACTCACATATAATAACATTTATTTTTCTTTTGTTGCAGGTTATTCGAGGACGATCCAGGGACGATTTTAACAAATGGTAAGTTAATTGTATTCAATTACGTTACAATGGTACAATGCATGATGTGCCGCCGGAGCGAAAAACGTTCCTATTGTTAATAAATACCCATCAGACAGACTTATTTTAAAACTTCCATACCTGCCGGTCAAAACGTCATGGTTTGGCAACTTAACAATTAATGAACGTTAGACAAGCAATATTAAAAACTGTCACCTTCAGAACTTCATTAGAATATTACTTGTAAAATTTTGGCATTTTAATTAAAAGGTTTCCTAAATATGTGAAAAAGCGAGTAATTGCTTTTTCAACACAAAATATGCTTATGCCCCCTGCTGCAACCTCAATAAATAATTATAATTATTTGAGAAATTGTTCTCTTTACAGAACGAAATAAAACGTTTTCTTCTCAACATTGAGGGAACAACGACCTTTGGTGACTTAATACAAAATAAAATAAAATAAAATAAAATAATAAGGCTATAGGGGGACAAATTTTAACATCTTTTTAAAAATGCTTTTCTTTTTTTAATTTTTAGGGAGCGACATGAAGTGATGCACTTTTGCTTTTAAAATTCGAATCTACATCAACAACTACTATGTGCTAATATTTTTTTGTTTATTTGCTGCCATGGTTCTGTAGCTGTGGTTATTTTCAGTATTACAATAAAAAAATTTACAACTTAATTACAAACCCATTATCTAAAATAACCATAGCGCCGTAACCATGGAAAAAAATTGTATGTATGTAGATTCATATTTTAAAAACAAAGGAGCATCATTTCATTTAAAATGTCGAAGTCACCCCCATTCCTAAAAATTGATGTTAAATCCCCCCCCTTCCCCCGTCATCCTTGTTAAGTCAGCAACATTTTATAAAAATATTTCCATCGCCTTGTAACGCTTTGAAAAACTCACCCTGTATAATTTTATTATTGGAGGCAAAGCTGATTACTATTTTTTATATGTTTTGACGAATTCTGTAACTGTTACAGTGGCTGCTAGTTGGAATATAACCATTTAAAAATCGTTAGAGAAATATGCTGTTTTTACTTATAATAGTTTTCGCTTTTGTAATGTATGATGGTTAAACCTAACTATACATCCACATTTTAAAGAGTATTACTGTAGTGCGATAGGATAGGGATAGTTTGTAACTTTATTATACCACTCACCTTCTCCCAAACTCCGACCTCCTAGATGATAGTGTTAGGAACCCTAGATCTTACGTTGTGTCTTGTGGTACCCTAAGTTTCATTTTTAGAGGCCGTCGTCGGCCAATTCTTTGATTTGAAGTAGCACATAGTCAAGATAAATTGAAGATATATAGAGCTATTTAGGTTCATTCCAAAATTACCATTTTTAAAATGAAGTCTTTTCATTTAAAATGCTCACAAACATTTTAATGCGCCATGGGAAAACGAGCCGAGATTTCGAGTTAAGCTCAACTTATTTCATTTGAAGGTGAGGGTTCGCTCACTTATTTTCGTTGACTGAGCCCTTAGTTTTCGATCTACTTACGAACGAGCAATAAATGACAGCATTCGGGACCGGAGGGCCACGGGACCGCGGAACTGGTATTAGGAGATGTAACATCCTGATCCAGATCACAGATTACTGTCAATTGTAATATTAATCTTTTCAACTGCTCTAATGCAGCTCAAAATTACTTGAAGGAACTGTATGAATCATGCAATAATAAAATTAAAATAATGTTAACTAGAAGACAAGCAAGCAAAAGCAAAATTCCCTCCAGTTAAATTTAATATAAATTATGTTAATTCGCATGTTTTGTCAACTTAAATTCAATGACCAATAATTGACATCCAGACGCATAATTCCTAAGGGTTTAATTCTAATTACTCAATAACGTACAACGTAACATGCAACGTCTAGATTAATTATGTCTGTCCCTGTCTCCACCGCGAATATTAATATTATGATTATAAAGGCTAATTGCAAATACTATATCTAAGTAATTCAATTAATAAATAGTAATTGACAAGAATTTACGTTGTAGTGAAGTAGTCTAAAAACAGTTTAACGTCCAAATTGTCAATTTTTCATGAAATTTTTGCGATAGGTATTCTATCACGATTAGCGAGTTGTGCGCGGGTGCACCACCCTGTTGAATCCCACAGTTTTCAACTTTTGTTTGTTTGTGTACCGTACATCGTTGAATTGGTTATAAAAAAAATGCTACACAATGACTGTTATGAGCCATGTGAAAAATAAAGTTGAAGATGATTTCTCCGAAACGAAACGTTGTATTGAAAGTTTCTTGTACAGCTTAAGAAGTGGCAACGAGAATATGTTTTTTTAAAAATTTTTTCGTTCTGTTAATAAAAAATTAATAAAATAAAGACATCTGCAAATTTCGGTTTTATGGCATATCTTTGGAAGTAATCGGAATTTTCTGGTTTTCTTTAACGCATGATAATTACTCTGTAATTCCCTCACTTCTCTCTAATTTGACCATCTTGGTGTCTTTTATGGTTTCGGAGATCCCCATGATCTTGGACACGGTGTGTAAAGGGCTAGAGATTTAAAGGTTTTTTTTTGAGGTCTAGGAAGATTATTAAAATGATTCCTAAGACGGTTTTTTAAATACCCGAAAACGAGCAACAATTGGGAGTAGTTTTTTTCTATGTAATTATATAACGTCAGCTGACTGCCAGTAATCCTCTTCTGGTCTCTTAAGGAAAGGGTAAAGGGACAAATAATAACTCAATAGTCTTAATTAAATTGTGAAACGGTTGGTATTTCCTTTAAGGTGCAATAGAATAACACATTATTAAGTGGGGTAGAGCAAATAGTCAAACTACATAATTATAATGTTCGTGCACCAGCTAGATGCTTCAATGTGGAATGGGTGTGGTTCCGCCCCTGGGACCGACTACAGACTGCTAGGGCCAGGCTTCTCTTTGAGGTGCTCTGCCGTGGAAATCTGTAACTTTACTTCTTTCTTGAAAATACTGCGAAAATCTTCGTCCGCACCGTTAACATTACTTGATTCAGACGATGGCTCGCTCATGGCTTAATTTATTTCTTCAAGCTCAGCCTAATGGACCGATTGGCTTAAAATTGCAAGGTGCGCTCCGCGAAAACAACTGGTTTAGGTTCGACACCGCCTACAATCGCCACATTCCCACTATTTACACTCATATTTATAAATACCGCATTTTATCTGAACCGATTTATCTTACAACGACCAATCGTTTGATTACCCTCGCTAGCATAAGTTATTTGTCATTTAACATCGGTAACGAGTAAACTCTTTTTGCTTTCATTTAAATTACAATGACCCGCTTCATTTACCCAATCCTAAATATAATGTATATTATGTAGTGCAGTTTATGTATTCATTTACTTTATTTGCATCTGAAATTTTGAACCGCGATTGTTACTTTATATTGCTAATTCAGTGTTGGCTTCTTTACGGTTAAAGAAAAACCTGTGGTTATGAATAAATCATTAATTTCCTTACAATGCTAAACCACACATTTGCTCACATAAGCTTATCGTTGCACATCTACTTTTAAATTATGCATTTTTGCTAAACTCTAATTTTCTGTACATTCGGAAGTCTGGTTACAACTCCATTGTAACTGACTACACCTCAAAACTGATGTTTCCTTTTGTTTTGTATCACTATCAGTATTAGAAAGCTCTTGAAAAGTGTTAGTTTCTTAAAATCTTCTTAAAATCTCAATATAGCAAACTCAAAAACTCTTTCAGCCTACCGCACATCACCAGACTCGTAGCCGCAGCATCGATCTCCCTTTGACTAAACTGAAGAGCCTCTCCGTGCACTTTATATTTTGAAGAGCGAAATTCCGCAAGTTTTGCTCTTAGCAACAGAGGTAGCGGTTCGCTGAAAACGAACTCAAAGCGAGTCGGATGTTCACAACCCCAATTAGGATTAAGTTAGTTGAAACGGCTCGTCTAGTTGTACGCTCGTTATCATATTTCATGGCTTGTACCACATTCGAATGGAGTACTGTGTTTCAGTCGCTAAAACTTTTTTTCCTAAACGCAATATCGTATTATTACCTTTTTCGCGAGGGAACTGATAATGAAAGATTAGGATAATCTGTTCGCATCAGTTTTTCAGGACACGCATCGCATCAAGATCAACGCGTCCATTATGTGAGTGATGAAAACAATTAAAACCCTAAAACTCACTAGAGCTTCGATTTTTCGTTCTGTAGTTTTATTACAACGTGAACTAAGGGTAGGTGTGTAGCCATTCTTGGAAAAATGAAGTTAATTGACAAATAAATCACTCCAATGAGGTTAAAAGTTGTCGCGCCCTAAAGGAACAACTTTTATATTTGCAGGCTAATTCAATTTAACAAATTCGATAAATTATTCAGGAGCAATTCTAATATCTTAACTACTTTATACTGTTAATGGATCTAAAATTCAAATTAAATAGCCTTAGGCTTTTAATATTGTTCAGGTATATTTTATTTTATTTTTTCTTTTTCCATGTTAATTTTTTCTCTTTATGTGTGCGGTTTACATTCGTACTAAATGAAACTGATCCTCTACGGTACTGATAAAACGCACAGATCCGTTCCATTAGGGATATCATGATTACGTTAAGTAAACATCCCTGCAAGTGCTTAAAGGTATCTTTATACAAAGAAATTAAAGTAACTTACAGATATCGGTGAAATCGGTGGCTTTCTTTAAGTTACAAATATCAAGAGCCTCCTTTCAAAAAGCTCCCTCCAAGAAAAATTAAAACTGGATCGCTTTTGGGGTGATACAGTTGAACTTCGAGTGCTATGGAAATTTTCAGGATAATGAAACTTGTATTTACCTGGATCGAGTCAAATTCTCAAAGAAATACCTCGGATTATATGTCAATAAGTACTGCTACTGTTGACTGCCATTAAACGTTAGTGCTTTTAAAAATTAATAAATTATTATTATGAACTTTCAAAATAAATAATTACTTCACAAATTCAAACTATTATCATAATTTATGATCTCTCGCTTTTCTTGAATAAATA